GGGAGTTGGGGGGAGGGGGGATGGGGCAGGGCGTCGCGGGTCTCGTCTGCTGGATTGCGGTCGGGATTAAATTTTGATGAGACGATTTCATTTGATGTTAAACATAATTTGTAAACTCTGAACGAGAGCGAGAACGAGAGCCAGGGGCAACTTTGAATGGACTTATTAGACGCGCAAAAGTAAGTCTCCAGCCCAGCTGGATGAGAGGGTGTGCTTGGGTTGGGGAGGGGGGGGGGGGGGGGGGATGGGTACAGAAGGCACTAGTCTGATTGGTCAGCTGATGAGGGCGATTAGCAGCGTCTGGCACAATGTCGTCGGACGGCTGGGACGCTTTTAATTAACCGCAATCTCGTCAAAGTGTCGCTCGGGGAATTGCGCATACGCCGCGTGTGCCGGCACTTACTTTGGTTGCGCCGCAATCTTTGACCTGCTCCAATGGCAATATGCGATGATGATAAGTTTTTCCATTTGTTATCAGAGCAAGAGAGAGAGGGGGGTGGGGTGGTTCGCGAAGCGACAAGTAGCGTTTGCCGGAGTTGGGGGCAATGACTTTGACAAGACTCGATGTCGCTGGAGCTGGGGCTGGGACTGGGGCTGCAACTGGAGCTGGCGCGCTTCATTGTATATGGGGTGACTTTGACAAGTGGTTACCATTTTTTAATGTCACATTTTGTGGCCACGCAACGGCTGCTGGTTTGCCAGTTAGCGGGGTGAATGGTGGTGAAAAGGGGGACAAGTAGAACCCCACCGCGTTTGCTTTTCACTGACCAATGAAGCGTAAATTTTGAAATTGAAATCATGAGTAGCAGGAGCAGAAATTGAACTCGCTTATGCTGCTGCTGCTGCTGCTGGCTGACTGTTTATCTTCCACGTTGAATGCTTCATTGAGTTTTATGTAAAAAGAAAAATATGAGAAGAAAACAAAAAAAAAAAAAATAAAAATAAAGAAACAAAAACTCAACTTTGCGTAAGTAAAGAATGGAAATATATATTTCCATTCTGTCGAAGATGAAATGCCCTTGCCAGCGCCAGATCTTGTTTTCCAACAAGAACTCAATTCCTGTTAAGATCTCTTCAAGGCAGTTATCAACAATATTGTTGGGCTATTTGTGAAAAAGTTAGCAAGTTCAGCAGCTCCTGTGCATGGGCTAATAAATTTGTATTGAAGCGAAATCGTTTTAGGCCCGGAATCTTACCTTAACCGAACTCTGAACAGATTTAATGGGCTGAAAAAAGACAACTGAATTTTGGGCTGAACACAAATTGAATTTGTACATTAAATCAATGCAATTGTTGTTATTAACTTAACCTAAGATATTTTAAAGAACAAGTATGCCAGCTGTCTTTTAAGTCTTCAAGTTTGGGTTTGGACACAGCTTCTCGTACAGCGCAAGAATCTATATGATATGATTCCCTGACCAAATGCTGTTGTTCTCGGCAAGTGTATTAGCCTGAAGTAAGCGGATGTATACTTAAATCTTTACAAGTGTAGGCATATATTTTTATATAGTCTGTATACACTATGTTGTGTGCATATAGACACAGCATAAGCCCATAAACTCTGGCTCGGGCCAGGCGAGCAGTGCAAACAGACAGTTGAGGGCGAGGACTCATAAAAGTTGTTGCTGCTTCTTGTTCGCCAGGACTAAGCCGTTTAAGCGTTCCGGCGCAAAGTGTTAAGTCTGTTGGGTAGTCACGCCCACGCCAACGCCACAGCCAACACCCACGCCCACGCCCAATGGCGGCGCATTGAATATTTGAATGCTTTATAATTACATTTTATGAGCGAGCGAGAGGGGGCAGCGGGGCAGCGGGGTAGCCGCTGTCGTCAGCTCGTTTATATTGCATATTGTGTTGGCTTTTATACAGCATAATTACATATACTTATATATATATATATATATATACAAATATATATACAAAGATACAATTTATCAAAGCCAACAGGTGCCAGCGCGTCGCCCGAGTCGGAGTTTTATTGAATGTCTGCGTATACGTAATGGATTTTGTTGTTGTGTAATTGCATCAGTTTTATGCTCGACCCGTTGCCTTTTAATGGCCGCTTTCTTGGCCCTCTGTTAAGCCTTTGTCTGCCCTGGCTGACTGTACCTACTACGGCTACAGATTTAATGTCAATCCGCATAAATCAAACCCGCAAAAAAGTAAACAATGTCCGATCCGAATCTTATCTACAGGCGCTGTGACATGTTTACAGCCTGCTGCCCGGCAGTGTTTGGCATTCCTTTTTTTTTTTTTTTTTGATTTTTTGATTCCCATTGCAAATGGGCAAAAAGGGGTATGTTGGTATTGTACGATTTCCACAGCAAGGCAGTCAGCTGCATCAGATTTGATATGTAGACTCCTGTACTCCTGTCTCTTTGGTTAACTTCTCCATGACACCCTTAATTGTCAGAAAACAAACTCCATTTAAAGGGTATATCCGTGTGCTTTTCTTTTGTGTCACATTAAAGCGCTGAAAATTTGATTTAGATCGGACCATAGAGACCGAAGTTCATTCAGAAAGGAAAACGCCCGACTAGAGCACACTTGTGTTTTATTTATTTTTTTTTTTGTGTGTGTCTTGTTTTTAATAAATCTCTGACCCATTGTGGGGTCTAGGAACATGCCTCGGTTCCACTTGAAAATGCGTTCAAAAAATGCGTAGCCGTAATAAATCTCGATGTCCTTTTAACAAATGTAAAATGTTAGACATAAAATGAAAGGCATGTTATGAATGCGGCTTACGATTTAACAGCTTACATTCTGTCAGCGCCAAACACGACACGGTCGCAGTATCAATTCCAATCCCAATTCCAATGCCAATGCCAATGCCCATCCCGATTCCTATTCCAAGTCGTAACTGTCGCCCTCTGGCCCTTCACTGTCCGCCTATCGCATTGTTTCAGCAGCTCTGGTTGCCGATTGAGCTGAATAGCTGATTGTGTTTAATGCTCTAATCGGATTGATAAGCATTGATGTATCTACTTCTATTGTCAACTTTGATGCCCTGTGTTTGGGTGGGGTGTCATTGTTAACTTGTTGAATCAATCGCGTTTGAATGGAAACTAATTGTTGAACTGAATTCTCTGAGCTTTTGTATTGATAGGAAAATGTGCTTTGCGATTGATTATTGATTGATTGCTAACTTTAGATTGTAATAGTTAATATTGCTAATGATTGCTGATGATTGATCCAAAAAGATGAAAACTTTTCTGTAATCATTATTATTATTTATGTTGTTATTGTTGCGATTGACTGATGATTGATTGCTAGCATAATGTGCATATATTGATTGATGGCATTGAAGTAATTATTATTGCTAATGATTGTTGATGATTGATCTATGAAGAGCGTTAAGCAACCCATTTGTTAATGTGGATACGTTATTGATTGACGATTGATGAAAACTTTATTGTAATCATTGATGTTGTTAATGTTGCGTTTGATTGATGATTGATTGCTAACTCTGATACGTATTGATATATATTGATTGATGGCATTGTTTTTGTAATCATTAATGTTGTTAATGATTACCGATGACTAACCTAAACGAGCACTAAGCAACACAAATTAGTCTCTATACAATTAAATTGATACTTGATTGATTAATGACATCAATCAACTGCGCAAAATTAATAATTAAGCGGCTTTATACGCAATTGGCCGGCTTATGTGTAAGTTAGCTTCAAGTGCGCCCTAATTAAACTTGCCACAACAGTTTATGAACTTTCCAGAATAAGACACTCGCACGCACATGTGCACACACACACACACAGAGAGAGAGAGAGAGAGACATACACACATACATATGTATGAGCACATGTATAAATAAACTTCAAAAGCTGCTGCTCTCCTGCGCATCCTTGGATATCCCGCGCCTTGGGGTTTTGTTTAATTGAAGCAAATTGCATATTTGTATGTATGTGTGTGTGTGTGTGTGTGTGTGTGTGGGTGTATAGCTACAATATTCATTCAATTCGGCAATATTTAAGCATAATTAAGACAACTTCCTGACCTGTGTTGTGTGTGTGTGTTCGTTCGTTCGTTTAACTGCGTGTTTATGTACTGAGTGTTGTGTAATGGCAAAAGGGAGCAAACCTAAACGTTGACCATCTAAATTAATATCAACATAAATCTAATCATTTGTAAACGCCTTTTCCCCACAGGCAACGACAACAACAGCAGCAGCAGCAGCAGCAGCAGCAGCAACAACAAAGAGCAGCAGCAACTCGCAACTAAAGTGACATGAGGCCTTAACAACAATTTAAGCAACAGCAACAAGAAGAAGAAGAACCCAAATTGCAAACAATTAAAAAGGAACAACAACAACAGCCAGAACGAAGGATACGAAGGCAGCAGGCGCTCGAACACCGGCAACAAAAGGGCAACATACGAGGCACGCCCACGCACGCAGCAGCAGCAACAACAACAACAACAACAACAACAAGAACAACAACAACAACAAGAACAGCAACAACAACAGCAACAACAAGCTAACAATACCAGCTACATTTATGGCCAACTAAAAACTGAACAGCGGCCGCAGTCCGCAGGCCCGGCCCAAGACAAAACAGCCGCCCTTCAGCCCCGCCCCACCCCAGTGGCGCATCTGCCCATCCGCTGCAGCTACGACTTTTGGGGCACAACAACAGCCTAAAGTGGCTTTTATCAAAAAAATACAAAATACCGCATTGTTTTGCTTATTGTCATTCAATCCCCTCTGCCTGTCCCCACCTCCCACTGGCAGCGGTGTGAAAATTGTTGTTGCTGTTGTTGTCCGCGCGCCATCCAACGCCTTTGGGCACTCAATTAAGCCCAATTCCAGGCAGACACACGCTCGCACACACAAACACACACACACACACTCACACACTCGCACACTGGTGCGGTGGTGGACACCAGCGGTGTCTGTTGGTGTCTGCTGGCGGTGTCGGCTGCGTCTGCGTGGGCGTCATCGCGCACCGCTGGTCTTGTGGCCCGGCCATTGAGTTGATGTGACAATGAAACTGAGCGTCAGCGCGTATCGGGCGCATGCATCCGCACATAAGAAGATCCTCTCCAGCGGCTATCACTCGCAGCTCAATTACGGCAGCACTGGCGCCGCCGCCGCATCCTCCTCCTCATCGTCGGCAGCAGCGGCGGCCACTGCAACGGGCCTATATACGGTAAGTCAACAACCATGGCCACAGTGCTCAGTTCCTCTCCCCCCCCTCCCCCCCTTCTCAACTAGTCCTGTTCGTAAACAACATCATAAAAGAAGCCAAATGAGTTCTAGAGCACAAAACAAGAAGTGTTCTAAAGTTGGCCTTGCTCAACTAGCAGATACTCTCTAGCTTCGCTCTACACAAAACACATGTACTGCCTCACTCTGCCCAATTCTCAATTTAACATACTTCGGCTCTCTCTTTCTCTCTGAACTTCCTTACAACTTTGTGCGGAGCGGGTGAAGGTATGCATAAAGTAACATTTTTATGGTCTCCCCGTGTCTCCCCCTGTCTCTCCCTGTCTCAGAATCGATATTTATCGCAAATAATATCGAAATGTGCTAAATTTAATTGAACGAATGTACATTTTAATTTGCAAGTATCAGGCATTTGCCAAGGCCAGCTCGTTGTCCTGATCAAGTATATATTTTACTCCCGCCTCTAACAAACATTTGCTGATCATTCATAATACCCTTTTTACTAAAGTTCAAGAGCCACAGGGTATACCAACCAGTTAGAGCGACAACTAGTGTAGAGTGGCCGACGGGGGATACCCTGTGTGCAGCTACAAGCAACCGTATCTTGCCTACAATTACTTACTCTGATCATTTCCGTGTTTAATGTTCGATAGTTTTGAAAATGTTCCGATCTTAAAGTATCTATAAACTGAAAGATAAAGAGATCTGTGCTTGCTTTTGAAGAACATAGATATAAATATCTCTCTGGCCGAGAAAGCCAAGATTTTAAATCGATAATTATCGATTTTTGGGAAATGAACGAGCGATAGACCGATCTGGACCGATCTGGAATTTATATTTATGTATATATACATATTTATATACATATATTATTTACTTTTGGGCTCACAGATGGGTCCAGCATGCCCTTTTCAATTGTTACGTGGTAGCATTAAAATGAAAGCATACAAATTTTTGTGGTCCATAATTTCATTTTATGTACATTTTTTTTGTTGATTTGTCATTGAGTCACAGAAAAGGATGAAGTGGTCTGGAGGGTGTGATGTTGGGAAGGGGGGGGGGGGGGGGGGGGGGGGGGGGGGGGGTCGTTTCTCCTTTTATAGATCTATTGTGTAGGGTAACAGTTGCTTGGCGCGCTGGTGGTCGACCTCATTTACGTTATTTATGTAACCCAAGCGGCCATTGTGAAGCGAGAAGCAAAGCGTTGCGATACGCGAGAAGCGTTACAAGTTGTCATTTCTTATTACTGCAAAATTGTCCGTGGGCTGGCGAGTTAAATATTTGCATATCTTTGCCTATTCACGGACAAAAATTGTTTATCGATTTGCTGGAAATTGGAGGTTTGCCGTGCTTCTTATTTACCGTTAGCTTGCGCTTCTGGCTTTTTATCTATTGTCATTTTTGGCTTCATTTTGATTTCATTTGCCGATTGGCTTTTGAATTCGCTTTCGCTTTCAATTTTCTATGCGTTCAACTTGATTAAAGTTCTCTCTTTGCTTCACTGTTCGTTTCTTGTCTTTGTCTTTGGCTCGATTTCTCTCTTCACTGCTGGCTTCTTCATTTGCTTCTTTTTTTTAACTTATCACTTTACTCTGTCCACTTTACTGCTAGCTGTTTGCTTTTCTGTTAATTCTACAAAATGTTGCGCTTCTCACTGCATTACTAGCTTAACTTATCGCTTTTTACTTCCCATTTCGCTTCTTGCTTCGCTTCTTGCCCCTTTTTTGTTCGCTTTTCATCTTAAGCTTATCTCTTTTTATCTTATTCTCTTCTCCTCACAAGAAGTATATATTTTTAGTCACTATGTTTCTCGCTTTTGTTGTCAGCTTATCTCTCTTAGTCTCTGACTTTTTAGAGCATTTGCTATTCGTGGCATCACATTGTATGGGAATTGGGTCGAGTGGCGCTTAATAAAAATATCCCTGAATCGATGACATGCAGCCATGCAGAAGTTGTTTGCCATGAAACTCTGAACATTTTTGTAGGTTTATGCGGCAGGATATTGACGGATATTGCTCGTAATCTGGGCATACATAGAGAACAGTTTGGGGCATATCCGATTTAACAGCGCCTAAATAAGTCAATTTCAAGCCAGAAGGAGTAAAAAAGAGAGAGCAGGAAAGTGCGTATGTGTGTGTGTGTATGAGAGTGGGAGAGAACGAGAGAGGAAAATACACTTTACTTTTCAAACACTCCAAACTTCGGCCCATAAATATTTATGGAATTGACACTGTGCGCATTTTACAGCTGCCCAAAAGCCAAAAAAGCCACAACGAATTTCAATCAAGTTCTGCGGCACATTTAATTGCCATGTCCCGAGCTACCCGACGCACATCCTCCAAGCCCAGGCCCGACCCTCGCGATAAGCTCTCGCGAGTGGAGATTTGCGCTGCCAGCTAATTGGTCGGCCACGACAAGGCAAGACAAGCCCAATCCCATGGGTGGACATGTTATGCGGTTGTGCCTGCCATTAAGGCGCACACAATTTGCAAAATGTTCGCTGCATTTCATCGTTTTGGCAATTAGGCACAAAATTTGTGCCAGTTCTCGTTCTCATGGACTTAAACCACACGGAAACTTTATTAAATGGCCAGGCGGAATGTTTTGATAAATCTGTTTTTTGTTATTGTGTCAGTTTAATTAAGAGCTTTTGTGGAACGTGTGGAATTCAAAACGCAATTACTCCATCTTCTCTTTCACCATATGCATTTTGTTTGAACTAACTTTGGATGGGTTTCCATTCCAGAGGAGAAAGAGAGAGAGAGAGAGAGAGAGAAAGAGTCTTTTGTGAAATAAGCCTAATCGGAAACTTGTTCTTTGCTTGAAAATTTGTTTCTGTTTCAGATTCCGTGGGGTATGTTTGGCATTGAAATCTCATTAAAATGCTTCTAAATAAGCGTAATGAAATTAACTAAAATTTGTTAGACTTTTATTAATATGTTTATACCCTGAACCCATTAAAAATGGGTACAAAAATACGAAAGCCAAATGTATGTAACATGCAGAAGGAAGCATCTCCGACCCCATAAAGTATATATATTCTTGATCAGCATCAATAGCCGAGTCGATCTAGCAATGTCCGTCTGTCTGTCCGTCCGTCCGTCCGTATGTATGAACGCAAGGATCCTTTCTCCGTTTCCAAGCGATAAAAATCGATATCGATATCCTGTTTTTTGGGCAATTTTGGTAAATAATAAGAGCTAGAGTCATTAAACTTGACATATAGCTTCTAAAATAGAATATATATATGCATTTGATGTTGGAAGAAGAGGGTTCAGGGTATCCCCTAGTCGGGAGCTCCCGACTAGAACCTCTTACTTGTTTTTTTTTTTGTGAATCATGTGGAATAGAACGTTCTCTTTATCGGCTTTACGTACGCTTTGTGATAATCATTTGGGGTTCTTTGTGTAATGTTAGAGATGGAGGCGTTCTAATATATAGCTTTGAGGAACTGGTCCCTCTTATCTATTGTGGAACATGTGGAAACGAAATCTCCTTTTTTATTTGTAAATTCCTTAGCGATATGTTGTGTAAGCTGTAGGCATGGAATTGAATCTTTCTCGATCACTTAATTGTTTAAATTTTGCTGTAAATCGTTTGCGTTTGCTGAGAATGTCGTGGAACGTGTGGGAAACGATATCACTTGCGTTTTCGCATTTCCTATTCCAGTTTTTTTCTGGCCAATAATACTTGAAAGGGGTTCATTAATATTTCATTTGTTTGTTGTTCGGCTTTCGCCTTTTACTTTTCATTTTGATTATATCTATATATAAATATATTTGCGCAAATTCTTGATCTGTTCTCACTTCCAAAAAACATGTTGAAACTTCTGGAATGGCATTTTCTTGGCTGAATCCATGGGCAACGGAACGTGCGCAAGTTGAATACCCAGAAACTTGAAGCAGTCACAAAATAAGTTTACAGCGGCCCACCTGGCATAACACCATCACCCCCCCCCCCCCCCCCCCTCCCATCCCTCACCCTACACCTACCATCGCCCGGGTGGGCTGTCCCCACCCACGCGCTGCCTCTGCGATTGCCCTGGACTCGGCGTGTTTTCATCTCGATTCTCGGCTCGTTATTTGATGTAGAAGTTTTAATACTTTCGCCAGTGTTTTGCCAGAAGTAATCAAAAATTTCATTTTAATTATGCGCCAACGTCAGTATGAGGGCGTGGCCGTGCCAATAACGGAGGCATCAAGAGGGGGGGGGGGGGGGGGGGGGGGGCGGTTGTGCAGCTGGTCGCCTTAAATATGATTATTTAATGTGCGCACAGTTAACGCATTGCCTAAACGAGCCCCGAGGCGTTGAATTACTGGCAATCGGCAATCGAAGCGCGTCTTGGCCAGACTCTGTCTTATATAATTTAACGTTTACTCTCAGATGGAAACGCACGAGCATGGCGGCAAGTTTCCAAAGGATATGGCCAGGCTCGACTGCAACAGCGACACGGACGTCATCAGCCCAACGGGCACCAGCAGCTCCGGCGGAGGAGGCGGCGCCAGCAATGACCCAGCGGATGGCGGCCATCACAAGCGCCACCACAAAAGCGGCAGCGCGTCAGCAGCGGCTGCGGCGGCGGCAGCAGCTACCGCATTGGCCAACGATGATGACAATAACAGTGTGGCGCATTCGTCGGACAGCAAGAGTCCCAGTCAGCGGTAAGTTTCTGCCACACAGCACACAGCCACATTCACAACAAACACTCATACACACACACACTCACATACGCACCAACACCAACACACACACTCATACATTTGTGTACAAATTGTATCTTTTGTAAAGTGACAAGTTAAAAGCTTAACAAATAACTACAACAATCAACATAAAAACCTGAAAGCAAAAACTAAAACTAAAACAAAAACTAAAACGTTCGTATGACGCACTCGAAATACCCTTGCAATTAGCCTAACTTCCAAATATTCCATAAATATTCAAAGTTTTTTTTTATCTAATCAATATAAATTGGACAGCAGCCTCGGAAAGCGCAATATTTGCTATATTCAATCTTTATATATCTTTCAAAATCTTAACTTAAAATATATATTCTTTTTATATAGCGCCAGTTCCTAAGAGATTTTTGATAGCAACAATCTTTACAATTGAATGATGATCGATATGTTATGATCGATATCTACTGTTATAACTTCCTTAAAAGATATTTGATGCGATTTGCCAGTTAGGTGAATTCTACTTGCTTAGCTTCTTTGAGGGCAAACATCTGTTCAAGGTTGGGTACGTTTGGATTCCAAGCTTTGGAACAATTGGCATGAAACATGTTTGTGTTCAACTATGTCACAAAATAACAAGTGACATAATGCCGCAATAAGAGCGTGGGTATTTGCGAGTGTAGGGTATTAAATGCATTAAATATAACACACATGATAAACCATAATTGAAATGCGCTCCTACAGTGCACACTCACACATGGCGAACAGCCATTAAAATAACCTACCGTTAAGACTTGAGCAGTGCATACAATCATTCACACTTCATACACACACACACAAACACATACACACATAACACACTCTCACACACTCACACAGTAAGCGCATAATTGATTGCTAACAGTAAGAAATAAAATAAGCAAACCGAAAGTAAAAAATCGTAGCATACTTTGTTGGGCTTCGCAGCTGCTTCTGATTTATCATTTTTATTGATGCCGCGTATTGACATATTGACATATTGCCCCATACATGTACTCGTAACCGTATTTGTATTCGTGCTACTATTTGTATACACACACACACCCACACTCACACACAAACCATTTTTTAAGTTATTTTCTCTTTTTTCGTTCATTTTAGTTTTTTGTTTCCACGCATTTAACTCGTATTTGTCATCACAAATCGTTTAAAAAAATAGATATATATACATATATATATATATGCTTTATAAACAGTGGGAAAAAAGGCGGGCAATCAGATCTGAATAGATCTGTTATCGCTTGCTTAACTCAACAGCAATTAGCGTCAATTAAATTGTCATTGTTATTATGCTGGGACTTTGAGTGTGTGGTTGTCGGGGCGGGCGTGCGGGGTACGGGGTGCGGGGTCGGGTAGCTGTGGGGGTCCTGCTAATGGCAAATTAAACAACTCGCAGCGTGTCATGACTGTGTTGTTTTAATTATGGAGTTAAGAGTGCATGAATTAACTGGATAACGTGTGAAAATAAACTCAAAGCACCCAGCGAACAGAGCTCTGTCTGTCTGCGAGGTAACTGCGATTAAGGATAATGCATTTATTATCGAGCATAATCAGGTTTTCAAATACCTTCAGGCCTTGATCCATTTTATTTCGTTGTGCGTAATTCAAAATATAAATATAATAGCACATGTGCATTCAGGCCAATGTAGATAGGGTTTCGTCGTAATTGTCTTCAAGCAAATCAAAAATAGCTAAATGTATTTTATACTTCTTGGCCCGCCTGGTCTGCTAATAAGAGATAAAGCGGTTTCCACATCAATGAAAACTCAGGCACTCACTCATTTGTTGGGGAAACTGACGTCAGAGTCAGCCCTCTCAGCCGCATAAGAGCCGGGTAGGACTTAGACAGACTTCGAGAAACTTCGATTTTTTTTTAATATTAACATTTATTAACATTGTTGAAAAGGAATAGGTAATAAGTCGATATCGGAAAGATAAGCCCAATTAAATAAACAACAAGATATAGGATAAGGAATATAGGATGAAAACTTAAAGAAATCCACAATCTTACAAAAATTAAAAATGCGAGAAGCCTAGATTAGAATAATGTCAATAAAAATAATAATAATGATATTAGTATTATCAATTAAAATAAAAATTATATTGTATTAATAATAAAATAATACAAAAAATAATCATTAATACTAATATTAATATTAATGCTAATAACAACAATAATGATAATAATAATATAAATACTAATACTATTATTACTAATAATAATGATCATAATATTAATAATAAAATTAATAACAATAATGATACTAATACTAATAATTATACTAACACTAACTATAATACTAATATTACTACTAATAATAATGATAATAATATAATAATGATAATAATAATCAATATTAATAATATAATATACAAATATTATTAATAATAATAATATAACAAGCTACTAACTAGGGTCGGGGAAGGGCGGGTACAGTTATGCAACAATCGCCGATAGATAGCTCCCAAATGATTCCTAACACGTCCCTATAACGGTAACAGTAACGGTATATATGTGCACGGAGAGAGTTCTCTCTGATTTGTGGTGGACATAACGGAAATTAACTAATAAAGATAATTAGCTGGAACTGTGTGTGCGCTTGGATGTGTGTGGGGGTGTGGGTGTGTGTGTGGGTGTGTGTGTGTGGGTGTGTATGAGTGTGGGCGTGTGTAGAGTTTTGTTTAGTTTGTTTAGTGATTTTATGTATTAACCTCAGCACCCTGGAGACCCATTTGCCAGTTACGATTAGTTGGTTGACAACTCCGGCTCTTTGTCTGCCCCTCTTTCGCCCTCCCTCCCTCCCTCTCTCTCTCTCTCTCCCCCTGTCTCTATCTCTCGCCTTCGCGAAGCCTGGTCTTCTTTTTGGCGGCAATTGCGGGCAGCTTTACGTGGTATTCGCTGCAAAGCCTTGCCAATGCCAACCCAAATGGGCTTTAGTTAAGTGAATTATGTCATGGCTGTTGGCCAAAACTTGTAAGCCAATTGTGCGTGTGTGTGTGTGTGTGTGTGTGTGGGCGGGTGATTGGGTATGTGTGTGTGTCTGTGTGTATCGAACAGTTTTGGGTTATTGCCTGATTGGGCCATGGGATTGAAATTGTAAGTGGCATTGGGATTGGTATTGGATATTGGGCGTTGTTATTGCAGCGATACCGTGTACTCGCATGCACACAAATCCCCAAACTACACACCTAAACAAACTGAATGTGAACAGCAAGAATTCGGCACACCGAAGCATGCATACCCTTGCAGACTGATTTTCAGCGACACCCAAATGTTTGTTATACTGTGACTTTATTAATATTTAAAGTGCTTAAAGTAAAAGACTTGAATATTATGAACAAAAAGACGAGAAGGGAGTTAATGAATGTCCGTGCAGGCATACCTCTTGTCCATATACCCTACAAATCTGCCTGCCTTGAACTTATTTGCTTTTACTATAGAATCTGCGTGGATGATAGAAAGTTGTTAGTCGCTGCTTTTAATATGAAATTGCTTAATTAATTAATTAATTGATTAATTAAAAAGTGTATTTAAAATAAAACTGATTGTAAATGCATAAAATGTTGGCAATTATGCCTAAAGCTAAAAAACAGATCAGATTTAAGAATTATGAAGACTGAGAAGAAACTTAAGATATAAGCTGTATGTCTATAACAATTAATGTCTTAATATATATATATATATATATATATATATATATATATATTTAAATTAAAACCAAAATTGTAAAAGTACTCAATACTATTCCCAAATCCAAAGTCTCTGCTTAACTTACATAAATATAGGAAAAATCTACCATGCCCTTCTAAAGAATTCTAAGCAGAAATCTTGGCATAGATATTCGCTTTTACAGAGATCATAAGAACTGTGCAGGCTTTATAATGTGATGTATCAAGCACTTTGTTGGATATTTAAAGAAAAACGAACGTCTTGGTCACATTTTGGCCAGGTCAAAGATAGTTTAAGGACAGCCAGGAGAGCACACTGCAAGGGTATGCATTGTACCATATAGAGACGTAAATGTAGCTTGTTATTTGGCATATTCTGTTGGTATATATAACGTTAAATTTTACCCATTGGAAGATCGGGCAACTCATCGCTGACCAGCGGGCAGAGCAATTTGTGCCGCTGCACAAATAGTTTAAGATTGTACACAGAGAGGGATAGACTTATATTAACGGCAGAGCAGCAGCAGCAGCAGCAGCAGCAGCAGCAACAGGAACAGCAGCTGGAAACGTTGCCACACAGACATGGACAACATCCGCGACAGCGGCGACAGGTGCGCTTGCATCTGAATAGCCCCGCATCGGATGGCAGCTGCCATTCGCTGGCGGGACAGGGTGAAGCCGGTGGCAGCCGGGGCCTAATGAGCTCTGCCAGCTGCACGCAGGTGAAGACGCTCTCCTCGTTTATCAGCGAGCATCCCGAGGAGCTGGTTAGCAGTCACAGCAACAGCAGCAGCAACAACAACAACAGCAGCAGCAACAAAAATGGCGCCAATCAAAATCAGACAACAAAATGGAAGAGCCTGCGTGCCGTTATGGCATATTACTGTTCATTGCGGCGCATTAAGAGGAACGGTGCTTTTCAAGCTTTAACATACAGTACAAGAACCCAACTAACTAAGCTTAACTACAACTTTAACTAAACTAACTAATCAAGCAACTATCTAACGTTATGATTGATAATCGTACTATCTTGCATTGTCTGTGTGTCTGTGTCTGTGTGTGTGTGTAACCTCTCAATTCTCCAAAAAAAAAAAAACAAAAAAAATTTACCGTACCGCAACCCAATCCAATAATCCGTGCTATGATATCAGCATCTCAAGAACTAACCAAACTCCCCCCCCCCCCCCCCCCCCCCCCCTTCCCGTCTCTTTCTCTCTCTCACTCTCTCTCTCTTGCCCGCTACTAATCCGTAAGCAATATAAAGTAAAAGCGCAAAATTT